CTTCCTCTGACAGAGACTTTGAAATCCAGAGTCAATCGGCTATCGTACCCTCAACTTACCTATTCATTACAATTAAGCCCTAGCTTACCTAAAATTACAAAACTCAAGAGCCCAATTCATTTAGCCAATCGGCACCCACCCCACCACCTACGTAATGCCTTGGGCTCCAACTTAGTAATAATAGTATAAAACTTAAACCCTAAATCTATTAATGAGTATGTGTTACAACGTGGCCTTAACTTACCTATTCATTACATTACGGTCCTAGCTTACCTAAAATTACAAAACTCAAGAGCCCAATTCATTGGCCTTTCGGCACCCACCCCACCACCTACGTAATGCCTTGGGCTCCGACATAATAATAATAATATAAAACTTATAATTAACCTACCTATCGATACACTTACAGCGTTTTAATTTACATTACAAGATTGTTCCTAGAATTACATCATCGCCCTTAACTACCTATGAAATTAAATTACTCTCAACCTTAGTAATAATAAATTAGAATGTGTATTGAAAATAAAATTACGCTCAAATACTAATATATGTGTTTATGTATGCAACTGTGTGTGTGTGTAATACGCTAATGCGTGTAATGTAGATGCGAGATAAAATAGAAGCGATAAACTTACGCGCCTACCTATTCAACTTCATTAGTGTTGGATGTTTCCTATCTATCCTACCTACAATTAAAATTATGTCTATCTAACCTACCTATATAGCTACTTAATGTAATTGTGTGTGTGTGTGCGCGTGTGAGCATTCTTACTTATTGTTAAATTACAGAGAAAAAAGAATAAAACGTATCCCAGCCAGGCGTGCATTCTTTGCCTCTGAATGAATGAACGTAGCCTGATATCTTCCATGATGAACTCCTCTGGAAGCTTTAGCCTGAATGAAATGAATGATATAAAAAAATCTTATTTATTTATTTAATTAATTTAAATGAAAATAGAGAAACGAGTCGCGGTGAAACCCGCCAGCCGAAAAAGCCAGCCAATTGGCAAAAAGAGAAACCGCAAAGAAACCGTAAAACAAACCCCAGCCAGGCGTGCATTCTTTGACACTGAATGAACGAACGTAGCGTGACATCACAACCATTCTGATCTTCCACGATGAACACCTCCGGAAGCTTCAACCTGAATGAATGAACCTGAAAGAACCTAAATGAACGGACAAATCTTATTTATTTAATTAATTTAAATGAAAATAGAGAAACGCAAAGAAGCCGACCGGTCGGCAAAGAAAAGAACCTCAAAGAAAGGTATCTATATAGGATTTACGCTCTATATAACTCTATATAACTCTATATAACTCTATATAACTCTATATAACTCTATATAACTCTATATAACTCTATATAACTCTATATAACTCTATATAACTCTATATAACTCTATATAACTCTATATAACTCTATATAACTCTATATAACTCTATATAACTCTATATAACTCTATATAACTCTATATAACTCTATATAACTCTATATAACTCTATATAACTCTATATAACTCTATATAACTCTATATAACTCTATATAACTCTATATAACTCTATATAACTCTATATAACTCTATATAACTCTATATAACTCTATATAACTCTATATAACTCTATATAACTCTATATAACCATACATACCATCACATTCAATCAATAAAAATCCCACTAAAACCAGGAACCACCGCGTAACTGCTGAATGTATGATGTGAAACAAAACAGAAAAAACACAAAACAAAAATCACACCACCAAGTAGAGTAAAAGAATAGGAGTCCCTAACCTACCTATGTAACTAAATTACCTTATGCCCTAGCCTACCTATATAATAAATTAATTTTTACCTCACCTACCTATGCTTCATTAACTTAACTCAAGACTCATGAAGAAAGAGAAAAAGGAGTAAAACAGAACATAAAATACTACCACACAAACAAACACGATGTATGTATGTATGTATGAGCAACCGTTAAAGAACCCACCTAAAATTAAAAAAATACCACCTACAAACATTCAAACCACCTACAAACATGCAAGCTCTATATAACTCTATATAACTCTATATAATAAAATAAATAAAAATAAAAAAATAAAATAAAATAAATGAGATCAGACAGACTGCTTCATGCGAGGCAGAATGCCTGATCTGATATTCACGTTTTCTCAGCTCCTATTTATACTCGTTTCAACCATACACTTTCACCATTTCAATCATTCACATCAGTAAAAAACTTATTTAATGTATGTACTACAGTATTATACAGTCTTAACCACAATGCCAACAGTACTAAATTGACGTCATCAAAATTTTCTGATTGGCTGGTTAAATCTGCTATATTACTTTTTATATAAAACATATAATCTTATTAATTATTTGTATACATGGATTCTAGTTACTTTATATATATATATATATATATATATATATATATATATATATATATATATATTCATTATAATTGCAACAGTAATCAATGCTACATATGTATGCCGCAGTTCAAAATTTTCGGGGAGAATTCAAAATAGTTTGAGATCACACCTTGCTTAACATCCGATTCCAAGCCGAGCCGAGCTAAGCTGAGCCATTATGCATAAATTTATAAGCGCTTTTATAATAAAATTATGCTCGCTTTATATATAGAGTATATAAATTCCTTATAAACGCAACAGTCGTAATCAGTGCTACATATGTGCGCAAATTTTTCTGGGTGAATTCCAAATAGTTTAAGACCACACCTTGCTTAACATCCAATTCCAAGCCGAGTCGAGCCAAGCTGAGCCAATATGCATAGAGTTATAAGCGCTTTTATATTAAAATTTTGCTTGCTTTATATAGACTATATAGTATATAAATTCATTATAAACGCAACAGTAATCAGTGCTACATATGTGCGCACGCAGTTCAAATTTATAATTTATTATAAATTTTACTTGATGTTTTTTAATTAGTCAGGTCACAATCATCATCATCATCGATATCGCAATGAAATCAAATTGAAAATTTTTTATATTAAAAAAAGTATCTTTATTTATTTTATGATACTATTTTGTTCAATAAGATACTGTTTGATACATATAACTAGAATAAATATAACGACCTTCGCTCACTTTCAACGGTTGAGCAAGGAGCTTACTTCTGGAGGGAAGATGGAGGGTGAGGTTCGAGTCAAAAGTTACGATAGTATATTTACTAATTACGGAATATTGCTTTTATTTAAAATGTTAAAATTTTATTTTTTTAAATTGTTATTCAATATGGTAATTAATTACTTTTATTTGGTATAAATTTAAACAAATAAAATCGACATTACCGAAAATAATTAAAAGTTGCAAAAATTGAGATTCTTTGCATATCCCTGCTTCAACCCATAAGAAAGTGTTGTTTAATGGTAAATAGGCCTCCCCTTGAGCAAAAACCGTTCTGTTCTATATTTTTATTCTATATAAAGACTATCTTATATTAATGCTTCAGGTTTTTTTATAGTTAACTTATTAATCAATCAATCTAACAATCAGTTAAAATTTTTTGTGTTTTTTATATGTAACTTTCAAACTTGAGTCTCGTTATAATGCGATTCGCATTGAATTAAACTTAAAAACTAAAATTCTACACTATGTTTGTATGTGTGTCTGTCTTGTTTGTTTGTGTAACTGTTTATTCATCCACTCATCCATCCATTCACTCGTCCGACCATTCACTCATCCATCCATTACTCATTCAATAATTTTTTCAGATCTTGAACCGCTTTAATTGGTCGCCGCTCTAAGCCCCTGGCCAGCCAGTCACGAGAGTAAGGTCATGTCAGCTGAACCTATTGACGACAAGTACCTTGCTACATCATCTACACTACAGCCAATCATTTAAAATTTTTCCGCCCGATTGTAATTACCATTTTGATGTGTTTAAATTGTAATTACCATTTTGATGTGTTTTAATGGTCGAATGAATGGATGGATGAATGAACGAATGAATAAATGTATGAATGAATGAATGAATGAATGAATGAATGAACGAGTGAATGAATGAACGAATGAACGAGTGAATGAATGAACGAATGAACGAGTGAATGAATGACTGGATGGATGGATGGATGGACGGACGGACGGACGAACGGATGGATGGACGGACGGATGGATGGACGGATGGATGGATGGATGGATGGAAGGATGGATGGATGGATGGAAGGACGGACGGATGGACGTACGGACGGACCAACGAACAAACGAACGAATGAATGATGGCACGTGGATAGAAAAAGTTTATAAAAGTTTATATTTCAGTTTGTAGTTGAAAATATTACATTCAACTATTATTTGTCATCTGGCATGGTCGCACTCCAAAGTATGTACATTAATAAAGTTTTTCAGTTCTTTGCATAAAAATTTTAAACTTTAGATCCTATTTTAGCCACATTATCTTTGTTATGGTTTTTAATTTTAATATCGCGGATTTGTTAGGTTGTAAAAAATAGATAAGATATAAATTAGGACAGAATCTACGTACACATATCTTCATGAACACGTTAGAGTGTAAAATTTTGTTATAAATTGTGTCATTTATCTGCTGGACCTCTGTAAAGAAAGGTAAGTAATAGTGATAATAGTCAGAATGTGTGTACTCTGTACCAATGTATGTATGTTGTACATGTACATGTACTCAAAATTGTGATGAAAAAGTGGTGAAAAAAAAGTGATGAAACCGAAACTATAACAAAACCTGAAAGTCGTGTAGCTTTTTGATTGAATTTGTAAATTTTTTGAATTGAAACTCAGCTTTTAGAAGTTATTTAAATTTAAAGAGCAACAATTATTTTAAATTGAAAAAGTTTAGGTTTAGTCAAGTGGAGTCATTAAACTTTAAATTTAAGATTAAAGATTAAAAATTTTAGATTAAAGATTAATTGAATTAAATTTTTTTATGAAATAAAGAATAATTTTAAGTTGAAAGTTTTAATTATTAAAATGATAATTACTATTTACATTTAGTATTTAGTATAAATTTGGGATTAGTCTCAAGTCAGGGAATGTTCTTTAAATGAAAATTATTGTTGACTTTAGACAAGTTTTATTTAATTTAAATTTTAAAGTTTTAAATAGTAATTCAATAAATTTTTAATCAGCTTTTATTTTATAATATATAATAAGATGACTTCATTGATAAGTAATTTAGTTAGAGTAACTATTTAGTTATTGAATAACTACTTAAATTAAATGTAAATATTAAATCTATGTTTATGTTGACCACATTGGGGATATGTTATTTTAAACTGAATATTGAATTTCAAAGCAGGGGCTTTACCTGGAAAAAAGTAGTCAGGCTTTGTTATCATTGGTGGAAATGATGCGTCGTCTAAGCGATTCATCATCATCAGATGAAGATGATGACTATGCTGTCAATGGACCTTTTAGCATACCAGCCCGGCAACTAATCAAACTACCACCACCATCAACAGAGGTTCACAGACATCATCCTATTTCGAACATTCTGCTGTCAAATGCAAGCAAGGCTGCTGTAGAGCCATCTTCAGATTGTAACATAAACTTTCAAGAGACACAATCAAGCAAGAATAATGTATCCAATAAGGTAACTGCTCAACCTGTTTCCCAACGACATATTGCAGATAATAAAACAATACCCGCTGCCACAACAAGTAGTGTTCCACCTGCCCCAACCACCAAACTGAAGAAGAAACCTCCCTCCCCCGAATCACTGTCCAAAATTACAGGTATCTCAGTTGTTCAAACACCAAAAATCAAAATTCTAAAAAAGCAACAAGACAGTAGTGCCTCTGCAAAAAATAATCAACTTCAAGAACCAACTTCTAAAAAATTTTGCTCCGAAAAAAGAGCAGAAGACTTGGAGCGAAAGTACCTTAACAGCTGTTTGCAGCAGGAAACTCCAGTCCACATAACAACCAGGAACCCATACGATTTGGATGAACCTGAAGAATATGGGGTCCCAACATCAAGCACTGATAAGACTTCCCCATTTGGTGATGATTTATACACTCCACTGCAGAGACCCGAACGACCTTCTTCTCACTTGGCCACATCTCAGTCATCACCCCCTTCTAGCAATCCTGCAGTGCCCTACAAACAGTCATTGGCCAAATCAGTGGCTGACCAGTGGATAGCCACGCTGGCGCGTCCCAATGGCACCAGTGAAAATTACAAAGGCAGATCAGAGTATGACAACCCCAACTTCAACCCATCAAATTATTCTAGGGGCAGTTCTAACAACAGCTGGACTGATAACTCCAGCAGATATGACCGTCACGATAAACGCGACTGGTACAATAATAATCGCAGGTACCAAAACAATGCTTATAAAAATAGAAATGGATACAGTGGCCCCAGCGATTGTTGCAGCGCTTATGTTCAGACAGAAAGGGAATCGAAACTGGATGTGTACACCCAAACAACGAATGATCTTTCCAGTCAAATCAGTACAGATTCTATTAATAGAAAAAGGAAATTTAGTCTTTTTGGTAATGGAGATGTTGATGAAAGTGAGGAAGAAGAGGAAGATGGTTCTAATAACCTGTGGGTTTTCTTTAAATTTTAAAATTAAATTTTTTTAAATCTTTCATCTTTAATGGATATTTAATTTTTTAAAATTTAAATTGCCATTATAGGTGCATGAATGTTATTATTTTTGGGTGGTTTCCAAGTTAATGCAGTTATGACTTAAACATTGCTAATGTTTCAAACTTTTGTTATTTTATTCTTGTTAATATTTATATTATTATTGTTTCTGCTATCAAGAATTATAATTATTTTTAAAGTAACTCTGGTCAAATTTTCAGCTTAGCTAGCTCAGAAGTTTACAGAAGTGAGGCAGCTGACTTAACTTCCATACTGGACTCCATCGTCAGTTTTTTTGCTCGTTCTTTGAGAATCTTCATTTACTAATTATTTATTTAAATTTCTCTCTGATAATAAACATAGATATTTGTATTCTGTTTCATCATCTTGGTTCGTGATTCTACCCATATTTCAAATACAATAAAACGCGATGTATCCAAATAATTTGTTTAATAAGTTCTCAAAAAAAATATATATTCTTTCAAAATTTGGCAACATGAATAATTATTAAAAATATGACTTTACAGTCAGACCCGTTGAATTCGACTGTCATCTTAATAAAGATTGGCCTCCTCAAAGCTCAAGAACTGTCTGCCATGGCTAATGAAAATGCAGGTGGAAAAATCCTGACCAAGAAGTACCTCGACACACTCGATTTCTGTAGACAGACTTCTAAATTTCTTTTTTGCGATTTGAATGGTGATTCAGTGAGTAGGGATATTTTGAAGTGCATTCACCTGAAGTTGATTTCATATATAAGCTACAACTTCTACCTGATTCAAAAAAAGAACACCACCGACGCCAAGGTCGTGGTCGATCATTATGTACCGGTTGGTACTTCATTTCTTCATCATTTTTTCAATATTTTATTTACATATTTTTATATTTTCATTTTTCTCAGTTAATATATCTTTATACTATATAGTAAGTTTAATTTTATGCCATGCTTCATTTTTTTTGTTGAATCTACTCTCTGTTATTTTCTCAACATTTTTTTTGTACCCCATAGTTAATACTGCTTGAAATGGTTTGAAATTTATAACTAATAATTCTTTCCTTCAAAAAGTAAAATGCATATATGCAAGAAAGTAATTCATTTCATTTAAAAAAATGCAACGACAGATCATGCTGGCCTCCTCCAAAAAGAACAAAGGCTCGTGTACCGTACCATCAAAGCTGACAGTCGCTCTACAGGAGTATGTCAACGGCATCGACCGCTTAACCAAAAGTCTTTCGTATAACGAGCAGTTCGATAAAGTCATCAAAGGTAATCAGGCCGTGGCCGAGTTCTTAGCGCCGTTGGGTTTTAAATATCTAAGGAGTGACTCTACCGTCTTCAAACTCGTTGACAAGATCACTTCTGCCTTGCAGTCGTTCAACTCTACTTTTGGCTTTTCTATGCCGTAACCATTAAGATGGTGATTCGACCACCAAGCAAGATGATTATGTTGATGATCAGTGTGTGTGTGTGTGTGTGTGTTTGTATATCCGTGTGTGCGTGCGTGCGTGCTATGCTAAAATATGTTGCGACGATTTCTCTCTACAATTAGCAATATATTTATAATTCTTTTTTATTTGATTTTGTTTTTTATGCTTTATTATTATTATCATTCTTTATATCACACACACACATATACACACACACACACACAATCACATTCAGTGTGTTGGTTACTTATGTGTGTGTTTTAAACACAGATTTGTTCTTATAAATTGCCAAATTATTATAAGAACAAACGAGATATTACTTTTATTATTAGTATATTTGTCGTATCTCTGTTAATTTTTGTCATGATCCAATTTAATGTTGAATTCAAAGTAGTAATAATACTTATTTATGTATTTATACGTATGTATATTTATGTATACAAGGATGTATGTGTGGATGTATGTACGTGTGTGTGTACGTGCATCAGTATTCATTTATTTTTTGCCTATGCTTAATGAGAGACATTGCAAGCAGACATGTTATGACTATATCATCATCGTCATCATTATATACATTATTGATTTGTGTTTGAATTTTCTCAACTTTAAACTTTTTTGCGGATGGTTTATTAACATTTCATTATTCGTTTCCCGTTACACTTTTTAAAATTATTATTAATATTTTTAGTATATTATCTAATTATTTTCCATTTTTCCTTTGTTTCTGTTGCGAAATATTGAATAAAAAAGTGTCCAAAGGAACAGTAAGTTCGAGATTATCTTTTAACAACCGTGTCGATGTTAATATATGATGACTATACATATACCGTACTCTCTCTCTTTCTCTCTCTCTCTTTTTCTCTCATATTTGTATACATACATTTATTTTCCTATATATACATACTGTAACGAAAAATGGAATAACTAATAGAATACTTATTACAATCATTGCAAACAAAAACAAAATTTGACTTAGAAGTATAGTACTCAAGTATAACGCTGGCTTAGAGAAATCTGCGTTGCATCATATACAAATTTTAAAAAATTTCTATTTGCATGGCATTAATGGTGCAGAAATTGGAAAACGACAATAAAAGAATTTTAGTTTTTAAAATTTAATGCATAGATAAGCCTATGTAATGCTAAATCAATGATTTTGTTAATTATACTGAAATTTCATGTGTTTCATGCAATTTATTCAACATTCTTCTTCTAATCCGATCTTAATATTTGAGTTGAAAAAATTTAATCCGTTATTGAACTCTTAATTTTCAGATAACTACAAAAAAGTCTCTACATTTAATAACTTCTTAAAGGTAACAGAACAGTTACCTTTTGTATTCGATTTATTTGGCAACAACCTGTAATTTCACTTTTAAAACTCGTGTTCAAATCGCATGATAATTTAATTAATTTATTAAATAAATGATTTGTTAAGTTTTATTTTTTATTTAAAATAGACGATCATGTATATTTTGTAACGTTAATACGTTGAGTTATAATTTATTATGAATCATTTTTTTAATATTTAGCTAGAAATATTTGTCTGAAAATTTCATGCTGATGATTAGACATTCATTAGATTAGATTAGTGATTAGTGATTAGTCAATTAGTGATTAGTCTTCTCAACCGAACAAAAACATAGCAAGAATAACGACACAAATAAGAAGTGGAATAGTGAATTAATCTTGAATCGTTGAAATCAAGTACTTATATTTCTTTAATTTTATTAAAAAAATAAACAATTAGTTAAATAATATATAGATATAGTGATATACTTTTGTGAAATAATTATTTATATATTTAATTATTTATCTTTAATTTTAATTAATTTATTAATTAATTAGAATTAGTTGAATTATTAATTATTACTTTTATTTTTGTCATTTGATGAAATAATGAAATCTCTTGATTTTTCGAGATTGGTGAGTTTTAACTAAGGAAGGCCATAGGAAAAAAAACATAATGTAGACAAGATGAAATTAATAATAAAATTAAAATATCATTAATAATAAATATAAATAATATTACTCTTATTTGATTTGATACCTTGTAATATGTATGTGTATGATAAATAAGACTAACTATAAATAAATAAAACCATGTACAGCATTTTTACTTTTTTTTGTCAATTAAATTTATAATTCAAAGTTTCCAATTTATTTTAGATGAAATTTTCTGTCAGCAGTTGACCAAGAAAAAAGAGAATAATAAGAAATGATGAGGATGAAGTTGAAGAATTTCTTGAACATTCCATATCTAATAGCTTCTTTTTTAACACTCTTCATAGTATATTATTGCTACTATTATAATGTCTATGAATATGCACTGACTGTACCGTTCTCAAAATTTAAATATCCTCTTGAAATTGACTTAAAGTCAGTGGTCAATCGATTGCAAAATGGTGAAACACAGGTAGTTCAGCCGCTTGATGAACACCACAATTACCCATACATTATGAATTCTGATTTGAAGTGCAGAGATGAGGATGGCAATGAAGATGATGTTTTCTTAATTGTTCTTATTAAATCACGTTTGGAAAACTTTGATCAGAGAAACATGATTAGGAGAACGTGGGGAAGACAATTCGGTACTAATCATGTTAACATCAGAAGAGTTTTTCTACTGGGAGTCAATCCCAATAATAAAAAATTGCAGCAAAGAATAGGAATAGAGCAACAAGATTATGACGATATTGTGCAACAATTCTTCATCGATCATTATTTCAACAATACGTTAAAAATGATCATGGGCTTCAAATGGGCTGTCAATTTCTGCAAGAACGCCAGATTTGTTGCCTTCTTTGATGACGACTACTACGTTAACATGAAGAAGGTGACGGAACTGTTGAATGCAGTTAAAAAGGAGGACTATGACAACACGATTGTTGGAATGGTGTGGAGGAATGCTATGCCATACAGGATCAAAAACAACAAGTGGTACGTTTCTTTAGACGAATATCCTTACAGGTTCTGGCCTGATTATGTGACAGCTGGCTCGTTTTTTGTACCTATGCCAACTGCAGAAAGAATCAATCTGGCTCTGCAGTATGTTAAGTTGATAAGGTTTGATGATGTGTTTCTGGGAGTTGTTGCATATAAGTTAGGGATCAAGTTGCAACATAGTAACAATTTGGTGTATTATGATATGGCCTACGACAAATATAAATTCAGAAATATCATCGCAGCACATGGGTTTAAAGATGTTGAATTTCTATATAAAGTTTGGAAAGAACAGAGAGACATTGATGCCATTTCATAAATTTTCATTCTTTTTATATTTTTTTGCTCATTATATTCCACCATTTTGCTATTGCTGCATTTTTTTGTGCCAATAATTGTATTCAAATAAGCATATCTGTCATCAGTCATCAGCCAGCTAGCCCATGTTTGTGATTACATTTTTGAGGTACAGCTTCTAATCAGCTGTCTAAATGTTTAGGAACAACCACTACTCCAAAGATTTTTTTTAATCTGATTTATTATAAATCTAATTTGGTTTTGTTAGTTCTTTTCGACTTTGTTGCCAACGTAATAAACTTTTGTTTGAAATTGTATTTTGAAGCATATTTACAAAAAAAGTATATGCAGTGTAAGTCTGATTTTTATAAATTAAATTAAGATCAAAGTGTATTAGCATTGAATGACAAAAAAATAACTTAGCGTATAACATGATTAACATTGAAAGGCAGTCAATAAATAAATCTGTGTCTTCAAATGTATCAAAATCATTTTTCAATTTTATTTCGCGTAAACTTCGTCCAGACGGTGTTCTGTTTCCACAACTTCCATATCTTGGTAGGCGGGGTTCTCGAAGTCCAGTCCAACGCTGTTCACCGTATTGAATCCCTTTTTGCTGTCGGTCGACTCAATTAATTTTGTCTGATCGTTACCTCTATGTTTGTCGGCGTTGTTTAATGCTGGTGCGGACTTCGCGATTTGTTTCTTGTTGAGTGGGTACATGCAGAGGATGACCACTGCTGTTATCGTTAGAGCTATGCAGCCCAGTCCCAACCCGACGAGGACTACGTAGACCGGTCTGATGGCCATTACGTTGGAGTCAGTCTCGTAAATCGTAGCCGCTGCCAGCAACACTTGGAAAATAATTAAGTATCCATTGGTATTATTTGAAAGTCGTTGTTAATTTACACGTTCATTGAGTTGAAGATATTATTTTTATTATGTTATTAAACATTTTCTAAAAGCA